ACGTTAAACGTTAAGCGCCCGCCTCTCGAAAACCGTAAGAGATGGATCTGGACATATTGCGTACGAAATACGTGTTACCTCTTGAGCTTTCCATATCTGTTTTCAGATTTTACATATCGCAAATGGTTTAGGTTCTACAAACACTTATTTATACAAATAAAGACGCATCGCACTTAACGCTACTGCTGCGTTTGTCATTCTATGTAAAGATAACAAGATGGATGACATCGAAGTTAAAAGAGCCCGAAACGTGGATGCACAACAATGATACTGTAAATTTGGAAGGTTATAAATGCATCACGCAATTTATGCGTGACGAACAAAGAGCAGGCGGAGTGGCTATGTACGAGAAACATGGAGCAACTACCATGGCTACCCCACATCTGTTGATGAAGTTACCTAAAGAGGATGGAGCAGATTACAGAATAGCTGAGGCTGAAAAAAGCGGTGATATTTGTGCGTCAGAGTGTATGGTCAATGGTGAAAAAGTTTTTGTTGTTACTCTGTATATTTCTAACAACACACCTATTGATGATTGTAAGAGATTTGTTTTCAGTCATTTGGGAACGTTTCCTCCCAAATTTACAGAGATGTTTTCAATTATGGCGACAGAAGATCGTAATACAATGCCCATAATATTGGCAGGAGCTTTTAACATTGATTTAAAGTATGAAAATCAAAGCTTTGTCAATGTAGTACTACTAGATCAAAATCTTGTACAGATATGGTGTTTGCACTAAATGTTGATACTCTAAAGTGTACAAATTTTATAACAGATTTTAGCTACCACAGACCCATCTTAAGCGAAACTAATTCAAGTTAAATAAGTAATGTCTTAATCAAACTATTTACTCAATTGTAAAGCATGTATAAAGAGAATATTTAGAAAAAAGTTAATATATAAACTTCCTTTCATTGTATTTATTGCCTAAATATAATTTAAATACAAAGACGTATTTACGTCAGATTCTCCGGAACCGTGGTTCCACTGTCATTTTTTCTCTAAACATACATGACTTTTCAGACACATAATTTGACAAAATCCATTACATTATACATAATTCTTTACTTCAGCTTTGTGAACCATTATACTCTGTACTGTGGTTGGACCACATACTTTTCTGAGTCAACAATGTTACCCTACTACTTAAAACCAAAACAGTTTGTCTTCAGAAGTAAACTGATATATGCTCATGAATATGGAAATTACCATCTACACTTGCCGTTTAATCATGAAAGTCGTAATTAACGTAATTATTACAATCACTGTAGCGGGAATTGAATTATAAAACATTGCAACACGAATAAAACCAAAGAAAATAACCAGCAGGCACAATATGCCACATTCCTGAGGAATATTTATAAATTTTGTTAAGTTTATCCGTGTGTTAATTTGAGAATACAAAATCCAAACATACTTTAATTTTAAATTATCAGAGTACAACCTTCTTCCAAAATTTCTTAGATCAACGGTCTATACTTAAAAACAAACCCGTAGCTACGTCCTAATAGATCCCATCGAGCAACTTTCATCGCACCTAGCCACATTTTTTTTTAGTGATTGCTTTGCCCGAGCAACTTCGAATCGGTGTGGAAAGATGTCAGGAGAGTATGATCTCACAACTCTCTTACAGGACGCCAATCCCTGAAATCTTAATAGTTATGCTCAGATACAATATGAAGCATAATCTATTTTTTCCTCAACTGCGAGTTTCTTGACTGCGACATCTTATGCTATTAGAATGTACTTTACTAGAGGCAAGTAACTCTAATTCCCTACAAATAGATGTCGCGCATTTATATTCATCACTAGTTTCAAATAATGATACGAAATATACACTGTGGTGTTTCTTGTCTTGTACAATTTCATGACTACAACCATAAATTTCTCATTTTCTATGGCTAAGGCCTTACATTTTCCATGTTGCTGTAGCCTGCGTTCAAGTTGTGAAATCTGAACGTGGTCGCATGGGCAAATATCCTTTCATCTGTGCTAGTTCTTGTTAATCTCTGTGCCTTCGATGCAATTCTCCAATTTCTTGAAAGCACCTACCTGCTTCGTAATAGACAGTATTGTTTTCGGAGTCCGTGGCCATGCTTGTGAAAACCCCGTTTATATAAGACACATACAGACACTGTTATTTACACGCTTGTGATAGGTATTCAGTTTGTGGAAAGTTATTCACATCGCACTTTTAAGCTTTCATAATTGAATTAACGAGCAAACATCTTGATAACAGGTAATAGTTTCTATATTATACACTGAAATTAGTATCAGAGTAGTCATTCTGTTTTGTTGCACAGTAAGCATTTTGCACCGCTGTTTGGACGCCAATTATTCCATTGTATTGAGCATGTTCTTTCCAGATTGTTGTTTTTTGGTATCTCAGTTGTTTCTTCAGTAGTTAGTCTCAGTTTTATGACAGTTTGGTTTTTTGATGGATGTAGACTTGTGTTAGGTTTATAGCGAATGAATGGCACGGTTTACAGCAGTGTACATAATAGAAATTGCATAATTTTTCTGTTTACGTTTTACCTGTAGAATGTGCTTCTTTAATAATCACGTTTGTGTGTTTTAATTATGAATAACGTGTGTTCATTACTTTTTTCAGAAATGGCAGAGGATTTTGATGTTGAAGCCATGTTGGAAGCTCCGTATAAGAAAGGAGTAAGTTACATTCATAATGTAGATAATGTTTCTCTTATGAGTGCAAATGTTGATGTAGATTTATATTTTTGCAACCAATGTTTTGAATTTTTTATAATGATTGTATATTTATTGCACATCAGGCATGGTTCTGCAAACTTGATATTCACTCATAATACATTTTGGGGTGATGATTAAATTGTTTGATACACCATATGATTTTGTATAACCATTTTTGTTACATGCACTTTTATATTGCTAGTTTGTTCTGAACATTGCCTGTTGTACAAGTTTGTTATCTTATCCTAGCCCACTCGTGTTATTTCACTGACATGAACTCCTCCATTTTTGTATCTTGTAGACCCTTACATATCACAGCTTGGCTCAGAACCGAGCCACAGACCTGGGCTGGGGCTCAAAGCACAGAGGTACTACAAAGTCTAGTTAGGTATCTTTGTTCATTTGTAGTTTTATATATTATTGTTAGTGTTAATTCATGCCATTAAAAATATAATTTATGTTATGGTACAGTTAGTTTTGTTTTGAGTTACAGATAGTTGTTAACTTTAGTTTCTTATATTGATGGCAGAAGAAGGATAACATATCAGTTTTATAAATTAACTTGCAAGGATGTGTTATGCTCCTTCATATTAAGTTTAGGTGGCATGTAAGATTAAATTAGTATTGTATGTGGATTTTTACCACAGTATTTAGTTTTGGCTGCGGAAATATTCTTATGGGTAGTTTCATGTGGCAAGGTTTCTGAATGTATCCCCTTCTGTCACCCCAGGGTCCTACCCAGATGGGTTTGCAAGCAACAGTCACTCTTAACCAAGAGATGCTTGATCGCTCGAACATTCCGGCAGATGAAGATTCAAACCAGGAGGCTGTGGAGGCCAAAATTCCTGATAAAAACGCTCCCAGATGCACAGTAGCCTAGTCCGCACATTTACACACAGCCACGGCCAGATGAGCTTTGCTGTGTATGTGTTTCTTGAATTGGTGTGATTGGCAGATTGTTTGCATTGTGTGCTTGAGAGAATGCAAGTTACAGTGGTTATTTATGTTGGGGACTTTGACATTGACGTGTTAGTGTTGTATGCTGACAGGTTGAAAATTGGTACCTGATCTGTAATGAGATCCTGAAGGTGAGATTAACCCACATTTACCTGTAAACAGCCTACTGAACAAACCATGTACCAATGGTTCTTACATATTAAATTGCATTAACCATTCTTAAACAGTCATGTACACAATGTCACAGGTGGAATGAACTAATTGCGCAAATACCCAGTTTACTTTTTACTTAAAAATTCATATATTTCTTTATGCTTTGTGATATTCTTGTCATGTTCTTTCTGGGACTCGGACAGAAAATCACAAATTTCAGACCTACGCTGTCAAAATTGAATTTTATTGAAACGTTAAAAAGATTTTGAAAACACAAACGTGAGATGTCTCATGAGCTGTATCTTTGCAGACGTAAGGATGTGGTACTGTATTTGGCCGAGCAGGAGGACAGTCACGTGTCATATAGGAGGTGAGTAATGAGACGTACGGGTTATCGGGGAACTTATATATGGTCCCACCCTTATCCTTCCCTTGATAGAGCTTCTGGTGGGTTGAGAATAATTCCTTTAGCAGCGATGTTGTGTGAATGGTTTAGCCAGCTTCGATGTGTGACCTCCGAGCTTCGATCCGTGACCTCTGGGCCTGGAGCCAGAAGATGAAACCACCCCTCCTTCATTAGTCTCATAACAAAGAGAGTAGAATGAATTATTAATGGAGTGCTGGTGTGTGTTTTTCTTCCTTTTTTTCTTCCTGCGTGATGCCTGGTTGCGTTGCCGTGGGTTACCAACACTTTGTGTGGCTGTTTCATAGGATGACGGGTCGAGCAGCAAGACGGCTTCACAGCGGGAGAATGGGACGTCGAGCAGTCACAAGTCATCTGGGTGAGTCACCATTTGCAAATTTTTAAATATTTTCTGTCCAGTCACCACATATAAATGAGCACCATCATTGAAATTCTTGATGATTTGAAACTGGCAGTAGAAATGAATATTGACTGTTGTTCTGTTTGTTATAGAAAACTGTTCTGTACTATGCAGTGCAATAGTAGTGTGATTGGTGAGTATGGAGTGGTTACTTGTCTTGGCAGCTGCAACATGCTGCCTTGGTTTATAAGTAGACCCAGTCTTAATTTATCGTACCATGCTTTGGGGAATGTGATAAAGTAATTGTGTAATTGTGAGCAATTAAAGTATACAGCAGTTGATTCAGTACATGATTTTGCCAGGCAGAGACCATTGTTCCTCATTAAAGTAAGTGGTATAACCTAGAAAAGTTGTGATGGTTACACATTTTTCAATAGTTACTGTCATTTAGTTTTGAATGGTTATTTAAGGTTACAAAAATAAAAATAAAGCAAACTTATAATGAAAAATAAAATGACACCAGGAAGAGCAAGCACCGCAGCCGATCTCGTGAAGGGCGGCGCAGCAGAAGCCGGTCCCACCATCATGAGCGAGATCGCCAGCGTGAGAAGGATCGCTCAGAGCGTCAGCACAGCAGGAGTCGATCTCATCATTGTGAAAAGCATGGGGAACGACGCAAGAGTAAAGAAAAGGAAACACAACATCATTCTCGAGACAGAGAGAGGGAGAGAACACGTGAGCGTAAGAAGAAATCTCTCTCACCTATCCTGCTGCCACGTGCTAGGGACAAGTTTCCATTTAAGAAAGGATCTCCACCTCTTGGCCTGTGAGTGTTTTGTGTGCTTGAAATATTTTAAGCGTCTCAGATGCTTGCATTGTAATATTGATCGACTTTTTATATTGAAATTTTATTTTGTGTTTTATGTTTGCTTTATCCTGTTTGGTCACTTTTTATAAAATCTATTGGTTAAACAATCCATGTGTTACAGCATCTGATTCATAGTTTTAGTAAGTATTATGCAACATAGTAATCTGGTATACATATTCATTCAGATGTGCATAATTGCAGAGAATTTTATGGTATTGTTAATTTAGAGCAGTTGGTCCCAGTAATTTGGAATTGCAGAGAATTTTATGGTATTGTTATTTTAGAGCAGTTGGTCCCAGTAATTTACTGGTTCCACTGTCATTTTTTCTCTAAACATACATGACTTTTCAGACACATAATTTGACAAAATCCATTACATTATACATAATTCTTTACTTCAGCTTTGTGAACCATTATACTCTGTACTGTGGTTGGACCACATACTTTTCTGAGTCAACAATGTTACCCTACTACTTAAAACCAAAACAGTTTGTCTTCAGAAGTAAACTGATATATGCTCATGAATATGGAAATTACCATCTACACTTGCCGTTTAATCATGAAAGTCGTAATTAACGTAATTATTACAATCACTGTAGCGGGAATTGAATTATAAAACATTGCAACACGAATAAAACCAAAGAAAATAACCAGCAGGCACAATATGCCACATTCCTGAGGAATATTTATAAATTTTGTTAAGTTTATCCGTGTGTTAATTTGAGAATACAAAATCCAAACATACTTTAATTTTAAATTATCAGAGTACAACCTTCTTCCAAAATTTCTTAGATCAACGGTCTATACTTAAAAACAAACCCGTAGCTACGTCCTAATAGATCCCATCGAGCAACTTTCATCGCACCTAGCCACATTTTTTTTTAGTGATTGCTTTGCCCGAGCAACTTCGAATCGGTGTGGAAAGATGTCAGGAGAGTATGATCTCACAACTCTCTTACAGGACGCCAATCCCTGAAATCTTAATAGTTATGCTCAGATACAATATGAAGCATAATCTATTTTTTCCTCAACTGCGAGTTTCTTGACTGCGACATCTTATGCTATTAGAATGTACTTTACTAGAGGCAAGTAACTCTAATTCCCTACAAATAGATGTCGCGCATTTATATTCATCACTAGTTTCAAATAATGATACGAAATATACACTGTGGTGTTTCTTGTCTTGTACAATTTCATGACTACAACCATAAATTTCTCATTTTCTATGGCTAAGGCCTTACATTTTCCATGTTGCTGTAGCCTGCGTTCAAGTTGTGAAATCTGAACGTGGTCGCATGGGCAAATATCCTTTCATCTGTGCTAGTTCTTGTTAATCTCTGTGCCTTCGATGCAATTCTCCAATTTCTTGAAAGCACCTACCTGCTTCGTAATAGACAGTATTGTTTTCGGAGTCCGTGGCCATGCTTGTGAAAACCCCGTTTATATAAGACACATACAGACACTGTTATTTACACGCTTGTGATAGGTATTCAGTTTGTGGAAAGTTATTCACATCGCACTTTTAAGCTTTCATAATTGAATTAACGAGCAAACATCTTGATAACAGGTAATAGTTTCTATATTATACACTGAAATTAGTATCAGAGTAGTCATTCTGTTTTGTTGCACAGTAAGCATTTTGCACCGCTGTTTGGACGCCAATTATTCCATTGTATTGAGCATGTTCTTTCCAGATTGTTGTTTTTTGGTATCTCAGTTGTTTCTTCAGTAGTTAGTCTCAGTTTTATGACAGTTTGGTTTTTTGATGGATGTAGACTTGTGTTAGGTTTATAGCGAATGAATGGCACGGTTTACAGCAGTGTACATAATAGAAATTGCATAATTTTTCTGTTTACGTTTTACCTGTAGAATGTGCTTCTTTAATAATCACGTTTGTGTGTTTTAATTATGAATAACGTGTGTTCATTACTTTTTTCAGAAATGGCAGAGGATTTTGATGTTGAAGCCATGTTGGAAGCTCCGTATAAGAAAGGAGTAAGTTACATTCATAATGTAGATAATGTTTCTCTTATGAGTGCAAATGTTGATGTAGATTTATATTTTTGCAACCAATGTTTTGAATTTTTTATAATGATTGTATATTTATTGCACATCAGGCATGGTTCTGCAAACTTGATATTCACTCATAATACATTTTGGGGTGATGATTAAATTGTTTGATACACCATATGATTTTGTATAACCATTTTTGTTACATGCACTTTTATATTGCTAGTTTGTTCTGAACATTGCCTGTTGTACAAGTTTGTTATCTTATCCTAGCCCACTCGTGTTATTTCACTGACATGAACTCCTCCATTTTTGTATCTTGTAGACCCTTACATATCACAGCTTGGCTCAGAACCGAGCCACAGACCTGGGCTGGGGCTCAAAGCACAGAGGTACTACAAAGTCTAGTTAGGTATCTTTGTTCATTTGTAGTTTTATATATTATTGTTAGTGTTAATTCATGCCATTAAAAATATAATTTATGTTATGGTACAGTTAGTTTTGTTTTGAGTTACAGATAGTTGTTAACTTTAGTTTCTTATATTGATGGCAGAAGAAGGATAACATATCAGTTTTATAAATTAACTTGCAAGGATGTGTTATGCTCCTTCATATTAAGTTTAGGTGGCATGTAAGATTAAATTAGTATTGTATGTGGATTTTTACCACAGTATTTAGTTTTGGCTGCGGAAATATTCTTATGGGTAGTTTCATGTGGCAAGGTTTCTGAATGTATCCCCTTCTGTCACCCCAGGGTCCTACCCAGATGGGTTTGCAAGCAACAGTCACTCTTAACCAAGAGATGCTTGATCGCTCGAACATTCCGGCAGATGAAGATTCAAACCAGGAGGCTGTGGAGGCCAAAATTCCTGATAAAAACGCTCCCAGATGCACAGTAGCCTAGTCCGCACATTTACACACAGCCACGGCCAGATGAGCTTTGCTGTGTATGTGTTTCTTGAATTGGTGTGATTGGCAGATTGTTTGCATTGTGTGCTTGAGAGAATGCAAGTTACAGTGGTTATTTATGTTGGGGACTTTGACATTGACGTGTTAGTGTTGTATGCTGACAGGTTGAAAATTGGTACCTGATCTGTAATGAGATCCTGAAGGTGAGATTAACCCACATTTACCTGTAAACAGCCTACTGAACAAACCATGTACCAATGGTTCTTACATATTAAATTGCATTAACCATTCTTAAACAGTCATGTACACAATGTCACAGGTGGAATGAACTAATTGCGCAAATACCCAGTTTACTTTTTACTTAAAAATTCATATATTTCTTTATGCTTTGTGATATTCTTGTCATGTTCTTTCTGGGACTCGGACAGAAAATCACAAATTTCAGACCTACGCTGTCAAAATTGAATTTTATTGAAACGTTAAAAAGATTTTGAAAACACAAACGTGAGATGTCTCATGAGCTGTATCTTTGCAGACGTAAGGATGTGGTACTGTATTTGGCCGAGCAGGAGGACAGTCACGTGTCATATAGGAGGTGAGTAATGAGACGTACGGGTTATCGGGGAACTTATATATGGTCCCACCCTTATCCTTCCCTTGATAGAGCTTCTGGTGGGTTGAGAATAATTCCTTTAGCAGCGATGTTGTGTGAATGGTTTAGCCAGCTTCGATGTGTGACCTCCGAGCTTCGATCCGTGACCTCTGGGCCTGGAGCCAGAAGATGAAACCACCCCTCCTTCATTAGTCTCATAACAAAGAGAGTAGAATGAATTATTAATGGAGTGCTGGTGTGTGTTTTTCTTCCTTTTTTTCTTCCTGCGTGATGCCTGGTTGCGTTGCCGTGGGTTACCAACACTTTGTGTGGCTGTTTCATAGGATGACGGGTCGAGCAGCAAGACGGCTTCACAGCGGGAGAATGGGACGTCGAGCAGTCACAAGTCATCTGGGTGAGTCACCATTTGCAAATTTTTAAATATTTTCTGTCCAGTCACCACATATAAATGAGCACCATCATTGAAATTCTTGATGATTTGAAACTGGCAGTAGAAATGAATATTGACTGTTGTTCTGTTTGTTATAGAAAACTGTTCTGTACTATGCAGTGCAATAGTAGTGTGATTGGTGAGTATGGAGTGGTTACTTGTCTTGGCAGCTGCAACATGCTGCCTTGGTTTATAAGTAGACCCAGTCTTAATTTATCGTACCATGCTTTGGGGAATGTGATAAAGTAATTGTGTAATTGTGAGCAATTAAAGTATACAGCAGTTGATTCAGTACATGATTTTGCCAGGCAGAGACCATTGTTCCTCATTAAAGTAAGTGGTATAACCTAGAAAAGTTGTGATGGTTACACATTTTTCAATAGTTACTGTCATTTAGTTTTGAATGGTTATTTAAGGTTACAAAAATAAAAATAAAGCAAACTTATAATGAAAAATAAAATGACACCAGGAAGAGCAAGCACCGCAGCCGATCTCGTGAAGGGCGGCGCAGCAGAAGCCGGTCCCACCATCATGAGCGAGATCGCCAGCGTGAGAAGGATCGCTCAGAGCGTCAGCACAGCAGGAGTCGATCTCATCATTGTGAAAAGCATGGGGAACGACGCAAGAGTAAAGAAAAGGAAACACAACATCATTCTCGAGACAGAGAGAGGGAGAGAACACGTGAGCGTAAGAAGAAATCTCTCTCACCTATCCTGCTGCCACGTGCTAGGGACAAGTTTCCATTTAAGAAAGGATCTCCACCTCTTGGCCTGTGAGTGTTTTGTGTGCTTGAAATATTTTAAGCGTCTCAGATGCTTGCATTGTAATATTGATCGACTTTTTATATTGAAATTTTATTTTGTGTTTTATGTTTGCTTTATCCTGTTTGGTCACTTTTTATAAAATCTATTGGTTAAACAATCCATGTGTTACAGCATCTGATTCATAGTTTTAGTAAGTATTATGCAACATAGTAATCTGGTATACATATTCATTCAGATGTGCATAATTGCAGAGAATTTTATGGTATTGTTAATTTAGAGCAGTTGGTCCCAGTAATTTGGACTTGTGTGCTAAATCTCAAAATATATTATGACTGTTATGCTAGCCCTTCAGATCAGACATCTGTTTGAGAAAATGATAGTCTCATCATTTGTTTACTCCTATACATTCACCAGGATAAGGTCTAGGGGATGAACAGTTTCCACAACTTTATGTACTTAAAAAAAATTAATGGTGAATAATCCAGTTTGTCACTGCCAGTCTTGTATTTGTTTTAAAATCATTTGACAGTGGTTTTGTTCTTTCATGATTTTTCCTTGTTGGAAGTAAAACCAGCATGTTATTGTATTGTGCTGTACTTGCATATATACAAAGAACTGAAGTGTCACGTTTATACACGTTACAAATACAGTGAAACCTCGATGCATCGTTTTCGGCGGGGGTGGGAAATAAAAACGATAGATGCGGGAATTCTCAGAAACGATCATTGCGGGAAAATTGTGGGCCGGGACTAAGATTTTTGAACGATCGATGCGATAAAACGATAGTTCGAGGAACGATAGAAGCGGGAAAATGTAACATTATTTTATATGGGATGTATCCGGGACCGAACAAAACGGACGATGCATCCGGGAAAACGATAGTTCCGGGAACGATGGATAGAGGTTTCACTGTATCTTGCCATTTGATTTTAAGGGGGTGGTGTCTCTGCATGTACAGAGGACAGTTTCTCATCCTTTTTCAGCTATTTTACAAATGTATGTTTGGCATTTCTTTTGGTCTGCCATTACAGTTGAAACTGTTTTTTTCTCAGTGACTGTAGACTATAAAAAAATTTAGGACTTTTGTATGGTACTACTCATGACAAAATTGAATGAGCTATTAAGTTCTTGATTAGTGTGGTAAGCACCACTGTACATTACCAAATTACATATCTGATTTTGGCTTCATGTAATTCAGTTGTATTTTATCCCATATTTATGGGTTTCTTTCATGTATATATTGAAGTGTGTGCATTCTTAAAATTGTGTTTTAAAATTTTGCAGACACTTTAGGATGGGCTATACCTTGTATGGGTGTTGATTGTTTCTTTCTTTCTTTTTGAAGAACTACAAAGTTGTCAACACAGACTGAAAGAGACAGATGGAAAACCGTCTTAAGTAATTTCCAAGTTTGGGGTTAACCCCAGGAAATAAGAAAATTTAGGTCTTTGTGCTGTAGCAGTATTTTGTTCCCTTCATAAATCTGTATTGTATGCATGTCGGGTTGATTCCCATGTTCCTCTTGCTCTGCATATGATTGAAGAGATTGTTTCAGCTTCATCAATACTGCCGCTAACAGTTCTTCGGTATTTTGAGTAGCTTCAGTTTTGAATTCATCTCAGTCATGAGTTTGGCTATCAGACGTGTGGATAATGACACAGTTGGAGAATAATCCCTTGTTGGTCCCTGATTTTCTATGGGTAGAGCAGTGAAGTGAACCAGTCCTAACCCTGTACAAAACATGATTTATTTTTATCATGAGGAAAGTGTGACTTCTTGGCCCCCCTTAATTTTGTGTTAATGTGAGCAGAAGCAAAACAGGCATTGAAAGAGAGAGGAGACAATGACCTTGATGTTATGAACACAAGCATTGATTTGGTGAACCTAAACTCATGAAGAGAGACAATAAATGTGTGGTTTGTGTATGCAGTTCATTATTTTTCAATCAGACAATTCCACTGGAGCAGAAATATGAATTACAGCATGTTTCATTTTAAGGTGGAAATATGCAGGCTATATTTTATGGCTTTGATTTTAGTGCCATAGATTTATGTTCCTTGGTTTAGACAATAAAAATTCCCTTAACCATGCATTGAAGGTTGTAAACAGTTGATTTACCTGTGCTTTTTACTAATTTGTATGATGTTTGCATAACAGGAGGCCAGTAGATGAGCTTTCTCCTGAGGAACGAGACGCCCGAACAGTATTTTGTATGCAGTTATCCCAACGAATTAGGGCTAGAGACCTGGAAGAATTCTTCTCTTCTGTTGGGAAGGTATTTACATTGTCATAATATACTCAAACTCATAGTTTACTAGGATTTGAGGTTTTCATGGTGGTGGGTATGAAGATGACTATCATCTGGGTTGTAGAGCTGTGTAGTCTCAGTTGTTTGTTGATATTGCAGCATTAACATTAAATTTTGGGGGATAGAGAACTCTATTTCTTGCTACCTAGTCTTACATTGGCTACAGTAAAGATATTACAGCTGCTTGTTAGTGGCAGTAGCATGGCTGGGGTGTGATGCTGAACACTCACCCCATCCAGTGCTGAGGTTAGGAATGAGGAGTGATGCATCATCTCCCCCCCAAGCACCTAAAAGGTATATAACAGGAGAGCTTGACATTTTTTACTCTCACATTAACTCTGTCAACTAAATACAGTAAAACCCCTGAAGTTGGACACCCCTATATCCTGGACAACCCTCTATATTGGACACTTTTAATTGGAACTGGCGAATATCCTATAATTTTACAAGTCCACAATACCCTATATCTTGGACACCCCTTTTGTTGTAAGTTGGACACGTTCATGCACTTGGCTTCAATGCTTTTCAGGGAAACTTTTCCAGTTACATATTTTGTTATTTTGAATTTCTGACTGATGAATTACTCCTCTCTGGAGTATTAGCTTATGGACATTGGAATGCATTGAAAGTGTTTAACTATTCTTTTGCTGAACCCTTAACTGGACTACAGTATTGCTGAAGACACAGTTTTAACTCCATCAGTACTGAGCTTGCATTTGAGTTCAGACTGTGTTAATAGAAATTTTCTTTTTGCGATGGGGAAGCGAAAATTGGTGGAATTAACTTTATAAAATGTTATTGAGGCTGGGGTGTAATGTGCAATGCATGGGAGTGGGCTTCAAAAGATTATTATTAATACTATTGTCATTAATTCTTAATTCAAGTAAGCCTACAGCAGTTAGTGTATGTAAGTAAATAGATTATATTGTCATTAGACCACAATCTGATTTTTCTCTTTCCATCTATCTTGGACACCTCTGTAAGTTGCACACATTTTTGTGGAACCCCAAGTGTCCAACTTAGAGAGGTTTTACTGTAATATTTAAAATTTAATTTCCTTCCCCCATAAGAAAACCACATTTCCTTTACAGTGATCAGTTGGCTAATACTGTTTATAGAAAGAATTGTTTGTTCTGATCATCATTGTAAAGCCATTAATACACTGTGAATAAAGTACTGAATTATTGAATCCTAAAAAAAAAGCTGTAAAGCGTTAAGATGATACATTGACGTAACAGATGTGATGCGGTTTCCTCATGACAAAGCTTTGAATTCACTCATTTCTTGAATTGAAAATTACTTTGATTATATAAGTTTGTTGATTATGGTTTAACATTATCAACATTACGAAAGATATTTTTACTGCGAAATTGTCATGTTGCAGTCATATGGCAATGACATTGTTACACATCCAAGGTTTTAACACTGGTGTCACTGTAAGTAAGATGGGTTGTTGCAAAAAATACTGAAATAAATAATGTTTAATTCGTGTGTTTGAGAGTTGGTGGCAAAAAGGCATTGAGGGGGTGGTCGAGTATATTCTTGTTATAATGGTGTGAAATTTTATGAAAAGAATGGAGTGAAACAGGAGCTAATTCTGGAGGCTGGCTGTTATGAAGCAATCTCATCTGACAGTGAAAATGAGCTTGATGATGATTGCAGTGGGCAGTAACAATAATGTGGCTGAAAACCAAGAGACACTTGGTCGTCACCATGTTCTCATCTGTGGAATCCTGATGGTGGCCATCCTATCATTAGAGCTCCCAGTGGATTGTAGGCATGAGGCAGTGATATGATCAAGGATTCTTCACTGATTGTCACCTTTTTCTCTTTCGTGGGTGTGGTCCAACTTTTGGTGGCAGTGATTAATAAATATATCCATTATTTAGACATACCTAGCAATGACAATGGTTGATGACTTTCTGATGTGACTGTACAAGAGATGTATGTATTTTTTTGCTCTTATACAAATAAGATATGAGTGAGGGACACATTGAAAGATTACTGATTCAATCGTATATACTATTTTACCATTATGAAAAATAATGTTTTTTTTCTTCATACATTGAGATTTGTGCATTTTTATAACAATATAAATCAAGCAGGAAAGTCTGGCAAGAACTACAACAGTTTTTGAAAAATCGGATCTTTCTTTGATATTGTCATTGACTTGTAATGTTTATAATCCATCTGGACATCCAAATTAGACTATCATTGTGCTGTTCTAAGGGAGAGTAATTTTCAATCAATACATTCCTTAAAAATTTGAATGCTGCAGTAGAACATTTGTAAACTGCAGCATGATGATTGCACATATGATGTGAACATATACTTGCAAAAGGACAGGCAAATTGCAATATAAATGATGACAGTAACACATGTGACAGTGCAGAGTGTTCCTAGGAGAGTGGAAGGGGTTGGCCACAAGCTTTGCATGGAAGGTTATCCTTTCATAATTTATTTGTTGTCCTGCACATGAGCTATTAACTGGTAATGTAATTGTGAGGCAGAATTATGAAGTAATGCCAGGGGATTTGGAAAAAGAGAATTTGAAATACTTTGGAGGTGTCGTGACAGCTGTGATTTGGAAAGACCATTGAGACATTTGCATAACCAACGGCAGAAGGAAACTTCTCTGAAGGTGGAGAACTCGAAAACCTGCCATATTTGAAGACTGCAGTCAACAGGGGACAGAATGGCTTCGCCTCAGTGACACGCACTTGCCAACACCAAGCTCAAGTAGATTCATGGTGGTTTCTATACTCAGATATAATTATTACATTGTGATCGATATATTGTATATTTAATTTGCAGTAATTTCAGAATCTAGAACCTTTGAAAAATATATTGTGCTATAAAAATGTTTCTGTAGAATTGGGCAGTGTTTACCCCCCCCCCAAAAAAAAAAAAAAACTTATTACTACAGTATTGTGGAAGTAATAGTTTCACAGCTGTACACATTTTCCCACACTAAAAAAATTGTTAAATCATCAGATTAAATTCTGGTTATCAGCCCTAGAGTTTATGCATTTGAATATTTTATTCCTTAATATGGGTTAATTCCACATAATCAGATATGCCTTGGCATGGTGCTTAGACACAGGTCAGTTTTATCCTTATTCTGTTTTGCACACTATAGTGCATCTACATAAAATGCTATTATGTTGATCTTCAGCAGCATTTTTGAGTAATTATTTATGTTGCAGGTTCGGGATGTTAGATTAATCACATGTAACAAGACAAGGAGATTCAAAGGAATTGCTTATGTTGAGTTCAAGGATCCAGAATCAGTTCCTCTGGTAAGTTTCTGCTCAAATCATGTTTGGCCATTGTGCATACAAGTAGACCCAGACTTGGCACAGTAGCTTTGTTTGGGGGGAATTTGTGTGCAATATAAAGGAATTTCCTATAATAAATTGCTGACCAGGGCTATTGGTCAGTATGTTTAGGTGATTCTACATGTATATTTATTTGTTTTTTCTCAAATATGTTATTCTCCTGTCCTTTTTTGTGTGGTAATTATGGTGAATGCCCAAAAATGTGATATGGTTAGTATCTGTGGAGGGGAAATGGCAGGACATTGGAATGAGTCATTTACATTCACTTTAAATGCATGTGTGGAAGGCAGTAGATTCCAATCTATTTAAAATCAAGCCATGTTTGCAGGATTGACTCATTTTGTTTAAACATTTATATTTTAGCAAGAATAGAATTTTTGAAGGACTCTGTACTTCATAGTAATGATATTTCATTATATTTTTTCAACAACTTATACTTCTGACAGCCAATTTAATAAATACATTATGCAGAATCAATATAGTCACTAGACTGTATGACTATAGTTCAATTTTAGCTGGGGCAAAGATATTTTCTCTTTACCACTGCATCCAAACTGCTGTGGATTCCACACAGCCTTCATTCAATGTGTACTCGGATGGATGGGAGTGGCTGGGGCATGAAACTGACCAGTCATCTTCATTCAGTGCCAAGGTTTAGAATGCAGGTTTCTATGTTTCCACTCTGTCACATCTTCATGGTATGGTGTTTAATTAAACTGAGTGATAACTTTGCCTTTCCCTTGTATTGTTTAACCATTAAGTTTGGGATCATACTCAGTGTACAGAGGAGAGTAGTGATGTTTGCATTTAACATTTAGGGAGTGAAAGTAATGTATGTTTTGTACTTTATTGATAACTAAATCATTAGTTTGGACTTGCATCTGTTCTGTGAATTTGACCTAGGTTTAGTGCATATAGTTTAAAATTTTAAGAACACAGTAGAAAGGAGGCTGTAGCAGGTGTGTAGAACACTTGCCCTGTTGCAACAGATACAAAGTATTTTAAATTTGACTTTGGGCAAACAATTCAGAACAGTTGGTTGGGAGACATGCCGCCAAGCTGCCACTGTGAAATGAATTGCTTGTAGCACGTCAATTTTCATGTTGACATCCTTCCCAGCATCCAATGCACATACAGCTGTTTGCATAAGGCGCTTTCTATACAACTGCTTGAAAGATTTTATGATGCCCAAATCAAGCGGTTGCAAGACGCTCGTGCAATTTGCTGGATACTGCACGACTTTCACATTTCGTAGAAATGTCGTGTCCTTCGGATGAGCGGCACAATTATCAACAAACAGCAAAATCTTTCTGCCTTGTGCGCCCATGGAGGCATCCAGAGAACTTAAAAACGCCGTAAAGATGTCTGTTGTCATCCAAGCCTTTTTGTTGGCGTGATATTTCACCGGAAGTTTTTTCATGTTTTTGAAACAACGCGGTTTTCGTGATTTTCCAACTACAATCGGAACCCGTTTGTCACTACCGTCACTGTTAACACACAGAAGAACAGTAATTCGGTGTTTTGCACGTATTCCCCCGTGGCAAGATTCACCTTTCAATGCCAGAGTCCTATCCGGGAGGGCGTTGTAGAAAAGTCCGGTCTCATCCGCATTATAAATGTCCCGCGGCTCATATCCCTCCAGCAGTGTTGGCAGTCTCTCGAGCCACAGCTCCGTTATTTCCACATCCACAGCAGCACTTTCGCCTTTCCTTTGTCCTTGTAATAAAAGCATTTGTGAAGAAATTCACACTGCACATGCCATCTGGCATCGCTGGAACGAAATATGAGTGCACCCTAATTAAAATCGTAAAATTTCTGACAATGAGCACCGCCATTCACTCCAACTATCACCCCTGCACCGCTGACCCTCATTCCAAAAGAATGTGCTGGTTGGGCGACATAACAGGTTACCGCTACTGTTTATTCCAAAAACATTGTGCGTCTTTCGGTATTAATTTATCTCAAAACCCAGCATTTTAATTTCTCAGAAACGATCATTGCGGGAAAATTGTGGGCCGGGACTAAGATTTTTGAACGATCGATGCGATAAAACGATAGTTCGAGGAACGATAGAAGCGGGAAAATGTAACATTATTTTATATGGGATGTATTCGGGGCCGAACAAAACGGACGATGCATCCGGGAAAACGATAGTTCCGGGAACGATTGATAGAGGTTTCACTGTAGTCTGCATGTTTACCTAGGATTTGCTCTGCATTCATCTTTTGAAAACATTTGGATAAGAAATTCTTACTATATCCTGTTTCTCAATTTTTCATCACTGTGTTATAAATTCTATGTCTTTACTGTGTATCCCACTTTGTAATATCTGTTTATTGATTTAATAGTTTCCCTTACACAGGATTCAGATTTGTTGATTCAGTGTACGTAACGCAATGATAAATTTCAACAATTTAATGTTTCTCTGTGTTTAACATCCATTTTGCTTATCGAACAAGAGAAACAACTTTGATCAGCTGCATTAAGTTAGCTTTATCATTTGCATGTAGTAATAGTGAACCAATTGTATGAATTTGAAAGAAAAGGAGAACCTTGTGTTTTATTTTTACAAAATATGGGGTGGAGTAAGAAGTTTAGAATTTATACTCAAATAAAGGTATTAGGTATGGCTTGCATAATTGCTGTAGAAAGAGTAATCCATTATGTTACAGACATTCAAGTTTCTCTATTTTGTTTCCTATGTTATACTTTTCATGTGCATCAAATGTGTTTATTGAAAAGGATCTTTGTATAATTTCTAGTTCCACAATGCAGATGATGCAAAGAAAGCCCTGGAACAACTGAATGGATTTGAGCTGGCAGGACGACCAATGAAAGTAGGAAATGTAACTGAGCGCTCTGACTCGGCGCAGGGTCCTTCAATTCTGGATAGTGACGAACTTGATAGGACAGGTATTGACTTAGGTGCCACAGGTCGCCTGCAGCTGATGTTTAAACTTGCAGAAGGTGAGTTATAAAAAATAATAGAAAGTTTCACAAGGAAATGTTGATTGAGTACTACATGTAGGTTTTACTTTGTTAGTAGCTGCACAGTCTCTGAGACCACTTTCACTTACTCAGTGTTAGGTAAAACTTTGAACATATAGTTTTACAATCCCCCATTAATACTATACTGAAGGTGTCCCCCCCCAATCCACCTTCCATTCCTTAATATGCTGAGGACAAGCTGGTATTTTCATTGTATTTTCCTGTTGACTAAAACACCCACTCTATAATTATTGTCATTGCTGGATTCAGTAGGACTGCAATCACAGTTTGTACCAGAATCAGATTCATTGTCTTCAGCCGTATTCCTCATTTCCAGATGTTATTTACAGTCTTGTATTTTATGTGGCCTTATATAGCCTCTTCATAACTTAAATATTTCTTATGCAGACAGCATGTAAGTGCAGGAACATTAAATACAATATTTTTATTTTCCGTCTATACACAAACTTAAAATAATGTTGTTTAAAATTATTTAAATTTATAACATTCTCAGTAGACACTGCATCTTGTTACAATTTTTTTTTGTAACAAGATGCAGTGTCTACTGAGAATGTTATAAATTTAAATAATTTTAAACAACATTATTTTAAGTTTGTGTATAGACGGAAAATAAAAATATTGTATTTAATGTTCCTGCACTTACATGCTGTCTGCATAAGAAATATTTAAGTTATGAAGAGGCCTAAGTATTTGCAATTGCTTGATCAAGTGAAATGGATCAAAAATTATAGAAATGTATCTGCAGGATGCAGTATTTATCACGGGCTTATGACTAGAATGTAATGATCTTCAATCCAGTTTTATTGTTATTAAAGAAATATGATGATGATGATGATGATAATAATAATAATAATAATGTTAATTTTCTCTTCTTTGCTTAGGCTTTGATAACAGTCTTCAGAAAGACCTCACTGCCGTACTACAGTGAAACCTCTATCCATCGTTCCCGGAACTATCGTTTTCCCGGATGCATCGTCCGTTTTGTTCGGTCCCGAATACATCCCATATAAAATAATGTTACATTTTCCCGCTTCTATCGTTCCTTGAACTATCGTTTTATCGCATCGATCGTTCAAAAACCTTAGTCCCGGCCCACAATTTTCCCGCAATGATCGTTTCTGAGAATTTAAAATGCTGGGTTTAGAGATAAATTAATACCGAAAGACGCATAATGTTTTTGGAATACACAGTAGCGGTAACCTGTTATGTCGCCCAACCAGCACATTCTTTTGGAATGAGGGTCAGCGGTGCAGGGGTGATAGTTGGAGTGAATGGCGGTGCTCATTGTCAGAAATTTTACGATTTTAATTAGGGTGCACTCATATTTCGTTCCAGCGATGTGGTAAAAAGAAGTAACTTTGAAAGAGAAACATTGTTTTTTTTTAAATTTTTAATGCTTTCCCGCATCTATCGTTTTCCCGCATTCATCGTTTTTATTTCCCACCCCCGCCGAAAACGATGCATCGAGGTTTCACTGTAGTGATTCTTCATAAAACTAGAGTTGAGATGAAAATTCATTTCCTTTATTTTTAATTTTGACATGTGTCTATTGTTTCCCTAAATACCAAATACTGAACTGTGTGGGATCTTCATTTGTGAAAGAAACCAAACTTTATTCAACAGTTTTGAGAAATAAAACACTTTATCTGTGACTTGCCACTTGTGCATTGAAAGGGTGTCATATTGATGTGAAGGTATTTTAAAGACATAATCATTCCATTTATGGTTACTATTATACATTCATGCTGTTTATCCAGCTGGTTCTACCTTTGAGTACATATCATAATGAAGAGGGAAAAGAGATATTCTCTTGTCACTTCTCTGTGGTTACAAAAACTTTGAATCCTGCAACACTTGATAGACACCATCCTACGTTCTTCCTAAGGTCTATTTTAATATCATCCCCCATCTATGTCTAGTTCATCCTAGGTCTCTTTTGAAGTTTCAGGCTAAGATGTATTCACACCCCACCTCCACCATGCAGTGTTTTTACTGGTCAAGTTTTATTTTAAAATAGCCTACAGCGCAGGCAACTTCTCCGACAAAGTAGTTGTGCATGCTGACTATACTGTAAGTTACAGGCGAACTGGTAATATTTAAATCCGAAGTCTATGCTGTGCTGTGGGAGGATTTTCTGCTTGGGGATTTAATTTTGAGCTTGAAAGTGCATCATTTTACTTATATGGGCACAACTTCCCTAATAATTGATGAATTTAAGTGAAACTTTGAACAAAATGTTCACAACACACTATGCTTTGGTCGTCTACAGTTCTATCAATTTCTTGAGGAGACAAAAAGCGTCTGCTACTCGAAGCCATAATCGCGGCTGACTGACGGCAGATATGTGCTACAGAAGTCTGTTCATACCAAGGGGAAAACAGAGAATGCATTGACTCAGCTTGCTGACATCATATACCGTTGCAAAGCTTGCAATGTGTCCTACACAGCTGTCGTAGCCGTAACTATATTACTCCATTCGTCTTCGATAGAGGGAGCCACAGAGCAGAGACTGAATGCAGTTGAGTTCAATAATCGATCTATATTTCAGAATCGAAAAACACTGGTAAAATCGATCTGTCAGAGTCAGAATACATTAACAACAAGGTCAGTCGTTACGAAGAAGTCTTAGGGCGCAATATGCGAGCAGTGCTCGGCACTCCACGCCGTGGGATGATTACATCATGACGAGTGATGTTCGGCACTCCATGCTGAAGGGTTAATTTGTGGATGAACAGTGTCCTTTTATGTTTATTGTTCGCCTCTGATTTAAGGTGTAATGTGTTGGTGCTAATATTGAATAATAATATGCAATTGCAGATGTTCATGTCAAGAATTCTTTACAAGTTTGCTTTAGTGTTATCAAAGGACTTATTATGGGCACATGTTATCTGTCTGTCATGTTTGTTTTTTTTAGCTGAGAAATTGTGCTGCCATCTGTCAGTGGTCTTACAAACTATACTTTGTTATTTAACTCCCGAAAGACAGCTGATTTTCATGGAATTTGGTATGGAAATTATGCCATTGGAAGCTACTCCAAAGTTGTAATTTTTAATTTCCAATGATGAATATTTGAATTTGTGAGGTGGTTGGTTGATCCTCAATGATGAAGTTATTATGCTGGATCCTCCACAGTGATGCCATTACTAATGATCATGATGTCATCACAGCTGACAAGAACACCAAACTGTCATCATACTTCCCACGTGCACAAATGTAACTGACTATGAACAATTCTGACATTTTATATGATGTTTGAAAAATCATTTGTCAGTTGAAATGGTTATTTGAATACAATTGGGCACCGCATACAGCGGGTTAGGGACCAGATCCCCGCCAAACAGCAAAAATCACCAAAAAGTGGATCTTTGCCTTTTCATTTGCAAATGCATATTAAAGCCTAATAAGATGTTTAAACTATCATATAGTAAGTGCACAATAGCTCTACAAAAGTAAAATGAATATCAATAGTACACACAATGCTTACCTTAAAATGGGGCCGGACGCACTTCTGTGGCTCAGCTGTTGAATGCATGGGGCTGAAAAAGTGGGGTCCTACTGTATATGTACGTAATTGAAAAGTGCCGTATTAGCGGATCGCCCAAAAGAGGGGCCCTACTGTACTACGCCAGTATTATAATTGTCAGACGCGTCTAGTCTGTTGCAACTTACAGCCAAAAATACAGAGCTGCCATGAACAGTGTCCATATGAATGATTTTATATCATACCCATAGGATGCACTTTGTACTAGAGAATTGTTCCCCAGAATTGTATCAGAACACTGAATACAGCAATTTATATGAAGATGTTTAACTTTGGAGAGGATGTCTCTTTTTATAATTGCAATAGATAAATATGGCAGTTGACAAAGAGTAATGAGATTTTTTTTAATACTTGCAGGTACTGGCCTACAAATACCTCAGGCAGCAGCAACTGCATTGAATCTTAACCCTGCAGGAAGTTTGCCAATCCAGCAACCAACACCTCCTATAGCTACACAGTGTTTTATGCTTGCCAATATGTTTGACCCTGCCATGTGAGTTTTTTATAAAAACTGTTTTTCTCGCAATACAGTGCTAGTTCCATTGTTTTAGCTTATGTAATTGGTGTAATGTCTCTCCTGTCAAATAGATTGTAATTAAATTTGATATTAGGAACTTCTAAAGTATATTAATGAAATTGAGTTTTGGTGCTTGTTGAGAGGGATAATCTACTGTTTAATGTGTTCCCCGTGTAAGCAGCAAAGAAGAAGAGGGTATGTGTTTTCCTTTGTCACTGTGTTGGGGTTTAAAATTTTTTAAGTACCAAAATTGAGTAATATCCCATGTTTTCCCATATTGTACTTGTTTTTGGTCTCATTAATTTTTATACCATTTCAGTAGTTTTGATTCATGTAAAATATCATTTTATTTGAATGTACCATATTTTGCATGTCTTCGGGTGGATGGGGGTGTCACCTTGGTTACTCCTAATGAATGAATCACCATCTTCCATTTTAGCAAGTTAAAAAAACCTTAATGGCAGTAAGTTGCTCTAAACAAATTTGTATAATTTTGGGGCTGAAATTTAATGTTTTTCAGTGCCATATTTTATTAAGCTTTAAGCACCATTTAAATTTGCTAGAAGCAGTAGCTATACAGAGTTTTTATTATTGCTGGACATTTAAATTCTTGTGGTCTCATGTTGCAAATAACTTCAGTACATCTTTTACAATGTGTATAGCTGGTCTGTTGTAAAAGTGTATACTTGAAATGTAACTAGGTAAGGTCTCTGTTGTCCATTTGTGTTGATGTAAGGTAACAATTTTACATATTATGTAATGCAAACAATGGTGTAAGACATTATTTTTCTATAATAGATTCCCTATTGGGAGGCAAGTAGTTGTGTAACTAGTCAAAAAATCCCTGCCCCAGAAGACAGAAATCTTCATAGTCAAAAAATCCCTGTCTTTTATGGAGTCCTCTGGTTCATTGCCATAGTTACAACAACCCTTCACAGGACCCTATCCTGAGCCAAGTCAATGAAATACACAGCCTCCCATTCTACTGCTCCTAATTTCAACAATAGGTATACTTAGCTAATAATTGTGGAATAATAATGTAAGATTTCAGTGAACTTTGTATAAGCTTTTATTTTGCTTTGGTGTTTATGCCACTGTGTTTCTTGCAGGGAAACAAACCCAACATGGGATGTGGAAATTCGTGATGATGTTATTGAGGAATGTAATAAGCATGGTGGAGTTCTTCATGTATATGTAGACAAAGCTTCACCTCAGGGAAATGTGTATGTGAAATGCCCATCAATAGCCACAGCTGTCGCAGCTGTTAATTCACTGCATGGTCGATGGTTTGCTGGTAAGTTCAGGTGTAGGTTACACCTTGCATGTAGAATTTGTTTTCTAGGAATTTGCGGCTGAAACTATTAACAGTGCGAATAAAAGGCAAATGAGGTGTGCAAGTCACATTGTTTAAATTAAATGTTAACTGAAACAGCAGCTGAGTTGAATACAAGACCCGTTTGTGAGTGAATGGTTAAATACTCGGCTGCTTTATAGTGGTACAAAGTAGCCTGAGTACGAAGAATTTATGCTCATTCTAATGGGTACTTGTAATATCTGAAAATGGTTGTTGTACATAATATTCTGGATTATCTCCTAACATTTAATTATGTATTTACACAGCACTACCATTTAAAAAGATTAATGTTGTTATGGCAATACAGTGGATTCCGGTTAATTGGGACACATCAGGACTAGAACACTTTGGCATAGTTAAGCGGCTACTACAGTTGTGAGAAGTTCCACGTAAAGAGTTAAAAATGTTTAAAACAAAAGACAAACTCCCATTTATTGAGCAACAAAAATACTGTAAATGAATTCTGGAACAAATGGTACAGATCAGAGAAAAATATTTACGCTAAAAACAATTTTAATTTAATGTTTATGTTACCGGCAATGTATGAAATCCAGCAATGTGTAGAATGCCAGAAGTCAGTAGGCAAAGTATGAAATAAGTCGTAATGTTAATATTGTTTGGTTGTGTAAATTAAAATTAATCAAAGTCAATTGGGTAAGCTGTCAAGATGGAGGTTGTGCAAGATAGTTGTGAAAACACCAAGCTACTGAATCTGAACATAACAAAAGTTGTTTTATATTAAGTTTTTGCAAATATAAAAGATAAAATAAAACTGTATAAATAGTATTATAGAAACTTCTTTGTTATATACTTTGCCGTAAGAATCCGAGGCATTTTATAAAATTCCCAGGTATTCTAGGCAAAGTATAAAATAAACTCTTAGTTTCATACATTACCTAAAAGTTCTAGACATTTTATAAAATACTTTGCCTACTGACATTAGGCATTCTATACATTGCCTAGGTATTCTGTACATTGCGGGATTTCATAATTTGCTGGTAATATATATATAAAACTCATGTATGCAGTTCTTAACAGTTGATGATGATAGAGGAATTTATTGAGTGTACCATGCTGCAACTGAACAAAATCAGCGCAGGTATCTAGTGCAGATATATGATTGCCATCATTGCCTTTCTGCATGAAGTAACGTCATAATGCAGCAACAAATTTCCTGGCATCCTGGTTAGTCACTCACTCCAGCTCAAGTGTGTCGCCCTCTTGACTTTCCTGGTATTCTGATGTCCTTTGGTGATTTGCTACAATTTGTTCAACAGATGCATTCTCATAATTCATTTTTATCATAACATTGAAGACTATTGTCGATGTATGCAGACTCTTTGTAGTTTCTGATGTGTTGCATTTCCAAAATGGCGTCATTTTCACTATCTGTCGTATTTTGCTTAAAACCACAGTGAGCATAGCAGTTCTTCATACTCACCGCTGTGAAAACCTCAAATCTTACACAGTTCTGAATGGTCTTGCTGCTTATTGCTTACAAGCAGAATCGCTACACTGTCTGAATATGCACATGTTTGTTACTGAGAAAATTAGCGATGACTCATTGACTCCTCCACACCACATGCCACAAGCGTGTCATCTAGCACTCACTGCCCCGATTAAACAGCATGGTGTCCCAAATCAGTGAAGCAAATTCTGGTTATTTTCTCGATTTGTTATTCTTTAAGATTTATCCCAAATAAACAGCTGCCCCCATTAACCGATGGCCCAATTAACCAGAATCTACTGCATATACTTTCTGTTAAATTGTTGTCTTGGAGATACAAAAATAATGAATAATATTTTGCATTATCTGAAAGTTGTCTATTGTAGTTGCAATCAACCATGTATAAGGACCCTTTCTATAAAGTGAAAGTCCCACTTACAATTTTATGTTTGATTTTTTGAGCCCATGATTCGATACAGGTTGCAATGTTGTACAGAATTTGGTATTAGTATATATAAAAATGTAAATATGAATTATTATGTAAAGCAATATTATACTGAGTACAGTGCATTTTTAAAACTCACTACAGTAGGGCCCCGCTTTACAGCGATCCGCTAATACGGCGCTCAACAGCTGAGTTGGAGAAGTGCATCCGGCACCATTTTCTTGTTGCTGATTCAGTCTGTTTACAGTTTTTGTGCGCTCCGTGTCTCTCTGTATTTCTGGCAATTTTTTAAAGTTATTACAAACTGTATATTTATGTAATATTTTTGTGTTACTGCAGTGTAATTACAATGGCGTCTAAGGGTAGTAGCGATAAAAAGAGGATTCGTAAGCCTCTTACTTTAAATGCCAAGTTAGATAAGATTAAACTTCGTGAACAAGGTATGTCTATGGCCGAGATAGGACGTAAGCTAGGCCTAGCTCGCCAAACTGTTAGTGCCATCGTGAACGCTAAGGAGAAAGTGTTAAATGAAATTAAACGTGCCACACCAATGAACTCTAAAGTCATAAGAAAGAGAGATAGCCTTATTGCCGACACGGAAAAACTTTTAGTTGTGTGGATTGAAGATCAAACCAGCCACAATGTGTGTACTACTGATATTAATTTAACTTTCATATAAGTTTCTTAGGCCTAGCGCTATTGTGCACTTACTATATGATAGTGTAAACATCTTATTAGGCTTTGATATGCATTTGCAAGTGAAAAAAGGCAAAGATCCGCTTTTCGGCAATTTTCGCTTTACAGCGGGGGTCTGGTCCCTAACCTGCCGTATAAGCGGTGCCCTACTGTACACTGTTTTTTAATTATTGTAAAGCATATCACATACACTTACTTACCTGGTGTGAATACCATGATAATGGAAGTTCCCCATTAATATTCTGCTGGTGTCAGTAGTATATTGGGCAGGAAACTTGAAAGTGTCATACCGACAATCTTTTCTCCATACATTTTTATACAGAGAAAGTAAAGTTGTGCAATAATGATCTGTATGTGAACTCCCATTTGAAAGCAGTGTGACAACTTTTTAAGGGACTATACGTGTCATAAACCATTTCATTCTCAGAAGAACCCTAAAAATGATGTATGATATGCTTGTATGTCTGTCAGTAATACACAGTAGCTCATCATTCCATACCAGTCAATGCATGTTATTGATTTATGAGTGTTTAGAATGCTACATAAGTGTATAAAAATATAAAATCAGTTTTCACTGCTATCAGACAAGTTCAATGTTTAGAATGCTACATAAGTGTATAAAGTGTATCAGACAAGTTCATTGAAACTTGAATACTCATTGATTGTTGAAGTTGCATTATGTGTTGTGTTAGAATAGGAATTTCTTTCAAATTTGTAAAATTTAGTCACAATGAAAAATACAGCTTTTGTTAGTCCAGTACATACATCTGTATTTCAGAGTATTATTCATACATGGTTTTTATCCTGGCATACATCAAAAGTTTGTAGATTTTTGTAAAACTGAATTCCAAATTTTAAGGACCTATAATTGATTTTACTTAACTCTTTATGCACTATAGACAGAACAGACCATTCTGCTTGTAAGGTTTTTGAATTGTACTATTGCCCCTTCACTCTCCTCTCATATCTTAAATACTTTTAATTTTCCAGGGCGAGTCATCACAGCAGCTTATGTGCCCCTCATCAACTATCACAGTTTATTTCCTGATGCAATGACAGCACTGCAGCTGTTGATGCCATCAGCAGCCCGTAGAGGACTCTGAGAGTTTTGTATTGAAGTGCAAATCACTGTAAATCTCAGAATCCAAACAGTAGATGGAACCCATTTCTTTGTGCCATTTTCATGTGCAAAATGGGATGCCATGTAAAGAAACTGCAAACCTCATGAGATGACTTGGACCTCCTCCTACTTGTTTGCACATTTCAGAACAACTGTTACTCCAAATGTACATTTTTAACTTTGTGTAGAGATTTGTGGTACTATTGATTAATTTTTTCACTATTTAAAAATGTGAACTGGATTGTGTATGAAAAGCTGATATGATCTTGTACAGACATTAAATTTGAACATGTGGAGATATATATATATATAAAGTTTTTAGTGTCTTTTAATTTGAACAGGCAAGACTGGTGATGCAGATTGGGAGTGTTTCTGCAAATTACTTTTTAATTTGGTGGATGTAATGGTATAGTGTGATGAGTGTAAGATTATTCAAACCGAAGAGTGAAATTACATTTGAGGTGTTATTGATGTCGATTATTATTTCCGTGGATTGTAATTTTTCTTTTTCATTGTTAATGAAATCTACTTGAGGTAACAGCTGTGTGATATGGCAAAAACTTGTTTTTACCATTTAACGTGGCTGATAGTCCAAGATGATTTTATTAATTTGGTTTGTAATGAATGTTTTAGATGATGCATTTTCATTGTTGTTTACTTCCATATTAAAGAAAAGACAATTGCAATATAATCACATTCTGTAGTATGAAGTATTTTCATTAAGGTGAGTTTATGGATCTATATTTGTCTGATCAACAAACCCTTCTTTCTTCTGACCCTTAAGTATGAAATTTATGTAGTATGCTTAGTTCTCTGATTATACACAACTGCATCTATATGTACTGCCTTATTCTGTGACCAGTATGGTGAGTATATTCAATTTCAAGTGTTTGCATGCTGTATATTTGGTACTCTGAGAAAATGTGCAAAAGAACCTTCATTATGAATGAGTCCACTGGTACTTTCAAAGAACAAAAAATAATGTGGATATGTAATTGTACCACAGTTTTTGGAAGATTAAATTGTAGGTGAGGTGGGTGCCTGACCAACTCCTAACCCTATGTCGACACTCGTGCGCTTTTATGTTCGTCAATGGCATGCGTTATAGCGCACATAACGCATGCGTCTACGCATGCCTGAAGAGAGTTGAACGGCAGCAGTTTTAGCAGTGCATGCCTCATTGCACGTATACCCAGCCTGAGTGGGTTTTGGTTCAACACGCCGTGCGTCTTCGGAAGAAGAAACGTTGTTTATCGACATTTACAAGTCGTTTTAACTGTTACGGGACCACAACCATCGAGACTACACTAATAAAACAAAACGTAGCGATCCTTTGACTGAGATGAGCAGCAAGTTAAACATCGACGTGAAGAGTGTGAAAAACAAAATAAAAAGTTTGCGTTCATACTTTTCAAAGGAACGCCAAAAAGTGTTTAAAAGAAAAAGTGGTTCGGGCGCTGAAGATAACTACTCCTCCACGAGGTTTGCCTATAAGTCTCTGCTGTTCATTACAGAGTCGATAACACCTAGGGGAACTAAGGAAAGTAACGAAGCATTGCTGAAACGAATTGCTTGGAAACTTTAAACAAATACATTAAGGACGCAAACGAATCACCTGTAGCTAAAAATCTCAGCGTTATAGCTAACTTGATCGCAACAGGTATCGCTTCTCTGAAGTGAGTGTTCCTTTTTGCGATTTTCGGCGCAACTATTTCCAAAAGCGTGTTAAAGTTTGGTCTGGGCATTCGTGTAAAGTTTCTAAATAGAACCTCTTCATCGACTTCCAAATCCTTCAGAATTCCAAAATTCCGTTTCTTTAAATAATCCTTCATCCATATGCGTCGCCGCCGTTGCTCTTTTCTTTTTCTTTCACCTGCGATAACTAAATATGCTGCACTTTTGCCCATAAGTAAAGTTGCGTCTGCCATGTTCCTCTCTCCTGTTCAGAAGAATTGCCTGACAAATGGCAGCATAGTGTAGACAGCTAGGGGCACATTCAACAAACGAAAGTTGAATTGAATGTTGAAAACGAAAGCGCACGAGTGTAGACATAGCTTTAGACTATTAGGAATATTTCTGTGTGCAGCTTATTCCATGTAGTTTACAAATCAACCTATTCCAATACCAGGTTTATTTACTGTAATTGCTTGGATATGGAATGTTACTGTTTACAGCTCTGATACTAGGTTATGGCTCATCTTCGTACTTGAAGTGGTACGGGTGATATCTCTGTAGGTTTTAGTTGTAATGCAAATGTCTAACAATATTGTGGGGAATTGTCTGTGTAGTGGGTGAAAAAATGACATGGTGCTCTGTTGACCTTGATTATAATACAGGTACATTTGAACTGCTGGCTTTACACTTTTGGACCCCACAAGAAATGAAGGAATTCTAGAAAAATTGAAAGTCGAACCAGTCTCTAAATTTATTCAGAATTATCATGCCAATTGAAAAGATCACGTTGAAAGAATGGACTCTGATAGTCCTAAACCAACTTCTGAACTACAGATCGAATGGAAAGAGAAACCTGGGAAGACCGGTAAAAAGATGGAATGAAACCGTAACAGTCCACTTGGCCTAATACTTGATGAATATGATCATGACATTTTAATTGCAAAAACGGATGGGATGGCAGCTTACTGGGCAGTGGTTTTGGAATTACTAGGAAATTTGTGGTGTTAATGGGGGGTTTTCAGGGTTAGGTAATTGGATGGCTGTAAACGTTATTGCCGACTTTGCTAACGTTATCTGTGGGTTCTCGATTTTACCGTCTGTTTGCTGGTATAGTTTTAGTATAGCTGTGGATAGATGGAAGCAAAATACAAACGTGACGTCCGACGCCAAGTGCGTTACCAACTTGTAACTAATTGTTACCGATCTCAAAAAATGTGTTTTGGATAGGAACATATCGGGAGGGCCTGTATGTTCGTGGCTTTCATCTGTGGTGTATATCAATGGCCGTAGGCCAATAACAAAATAAAAGAAGCCATAGCGAGAAGAAACGAAACTTTCAGGTGCGTGTTGCAGATGTTTTCAAGTTTGTGGCTTACGAAATGTCCCCCCAACGTTTTAGTTGGTGTCCAACACTGCCATTCCTTTACAGTTGTAATTGTGATTGGGCGATGGTGTGAACAATACAGTGTTGGACGTCAAAAATAGTGTATTTATCCCTCTCGTAGAGTCTTATGAAAAGTACACAATCTTTTATACTACACATATTTCTGTATTGCTCGAGTTATAGAATAGAATAGACAATAAAAGTTAACAGAACAGTACAAACAACTGTACTATATGCACAGAATTTTAGAATAAATTATGCAGAATTGGGAATGTAAATATAGTTAGTTAATTCAGTTACCACGTTCATTCATTTTCCCATTTGCATTTGTAAAATAACGTGATGGCCTAATTTCAAAGTACACCATGCATATATTTCATGTTATGAACTGTGAAAGACCCAGTAACAACACAACCTTTTTAATATTTTGAATAATTTTTGAAAGCCTACTGAACACCAGAAACAGCATCTTGTTCGTATGAGCAACATACAGCATCATCTTTGTTTACTTTCTCTTTCAGTTTTCTCAGTATTCTTTAATGTTGACATTGGTTTTTTACAACCAACCTGTCCGCATGTATTTTGTATAGGTATATCTTTTTATCAGAAGTTGGTCCCATATTATTTGAAGAACAAAGACAGTACCTTTTGAGTTGTTAAAATCTGATTTACTTCTTGTAGCAGCATACATTTGCAGTAGGAATGATGCAACATGAGTTCTTTTACTTCTTGTAGCAGCATACATTTACAGTAGGAATGATGCAACATGAGTTCTAATAGTTCAGGTATTCTGAACCTTTTCTAGACCAAGGGCTACATTGATCCTTGCTTATTGACTTGCAGGCTGCAAGGTTGTAAATTACAATTTATTGAAACTTCACGTCACTTATTAACAATGTAAAATCTAACTTTCTTACAGTTGCAACTAGTTAACCGCTTTTGCTTGTTTATCTTTTAATATCAGGTTTAATTTAATGTTGGTACAGTTTGCAAGCATCCCTCCATGTGCTTATCAGTAAGACACATGAGGTTCTTCATTAAATTAATCACTTGGTCACAATGATATGTACTTCTCAATATCAATAGCTTAACAGAGCATATTTCCTTGTACCAGGTAACTATTTTTCATCATATATGATGACACAGTTTTACAGTAGATATATGCAGGCTTCACAGAGCACATTGGCAGGCCTCTTGTTAATAACACTGATTTTCACACTGATTTCCCAAGATTCTTTGTGCAAAATGCATACAGCTTTGCTCTGCCTTGTCCTGTACCATCACTTCGTTTTAATTTATGTTAACATAGGACAAAAGTAAAGTCTTCAATTGCAGTCTTTTGTTTTGGAATGCTATATTCAGTTTTTGACCGGATTATATAACTTATCTTAGCTTAGCATGTTGTTAGCATTTAAAACTGGCAGTGCTTTAATGCTAGGGCTATACATTCATTCAGAATTTTCATATAAGGTGTTATACACAAGGAATTTATGGATTATATGGTTGATTGATGTTTGATTTTGCATATTTGTAGTTCTCAGGTAGAACATTGTATGTTCCAGGACATTTGTTCTCACAGTATTTCTTTCTTTTCTAGATGTGGTTTTGTTAGATTAGGTTAGGTAATTTTATCACTAGAGGAACCAGAAATGTATTCTGACCTTTTACACCTGTAACTACATGGAGCAGATTTTTATTTTATTTTTGAGTAATAGTCATGCAGTGAATAAAGAAATATCCCACTTCTTGTGGAACCCAAAGGTTTCTTACCATTTTTATATGAGTCTGCCATTGGTTCCTGTCATATGAATCTGGTCCATTCCCTTCTACTGTATTTTGTTTAAATTCATTTGGATATCATTTTCCCTTGCATGCCTTGGCTTTCCAAATTGTCTTTTACCTTCAGGTTTTTCGAGCATATTTTGTATGCATTTTTCAACTCCCCTATGCTTGCCACCTCCCGTCCTCATCTTTCTTGACTTGATTCCATTGGTATTTGGTGAGGCGCACATATTCTTGTTTTGAAGAAAATCTTCCAGCTCATCATATATTAATTCAGACTTAATGATGATTAATAAAATACATCTCCAAATATTATCAGCACTCAGAATATAAATACTGTATGAAAACAAACACTTTACTCATTCTGACCTACTGTATACATTACTTAGCTCATCCAGAAATAAACATGCTCAAACTTTTTACAATTGCAAGTTTAAGTTTATAGCAAACTTTGCATCTTTCATAAGTGTGGTCACAAGACTTTTCTTTTGCAGACATGAGGGCAAAGACAACTTTGAAATTGGTGGTTGTATACCTATGTGCACATATTTTATTGTTCGCTACAATTTTAATTACTGTAGAATCTGTACAGAATTCTCTACATAGGTTATTATTGGGAAATAGTGTGGATGAGGTGTCTGGTTTCATGTTGTGTCAGTATGTCTACACCTTTATTGTAGTAAGTGCTGTTTCTTTCTTCAGTTGAACAATTTTATATACATTTTGGATATTGCACCATGGAATATGATGAATGGTACCATAAACTTTTTACATGCAGTTGACTGTTTATTTATGTGTTTGTATCAGATGGCTGTTGCCTTTCTTTTGCAGTTACTCAGAGGTTTTATGAAACTTTTTTAATTTTTTTTATTTAGTATATTGTCATATTGAGCCATTTACTATCTTTCTGAAAAGACAAAGGGACCTAGCCAACTGCTCACAAAGGAAAAAGAGTGAATCAGTCACCTTCATCTAGTGTTGAGGCGTAGAACATGTGGACCTTCCTCTCCATACAACTCACATATTTAATGAGATGGTGCTTATGGATAGAGATAACTCTACATTTTAAATGCTAAATTTGGTCTGATATTAACCACATTTTTTACTATGAAGTTTTAGCCACTTTTGTAAATAAAAGATGATGAAAAAATCCAGTAAGAGTAAAATACAAGACAGAATAATTTATCTGAGTATATAGATCATAGAACCTCAGTGGTATTCCCACACACACACACAGAAACAGACAGACACACACAACTAAGCATAATATAAGATGCTCTGAAGGGTTAAAGATAGTTTATGAAGCACTGTTGATTCATGTGTTTTGCACAGTGACAGAAAGAACTAATTTTAGAGGAATATTACCCCCCCCCCCAACATAACAGACAGTGAAGTCTCACTTCCTCATTCAAGATTTCTGCCATAGCAGTATGTTTTATTTGAGATTTAGTTAGTGTGTAGTTTCTTTATATATGTTAGCACTTGGACTAAATAGAATCTGGAAGGTTTCTTGCTGTGTGGAACTGGAAAGACTACTTACATTTACAGGTAGCATTATAATTTGTTACAGTTTATGCCTTGTGTTACAACACAGAACATTAGAACTGTTTATAGAGCACCTTGAAGGTCAAAAAAGTTACAGGATAAAATCATGTATGTCCAAACAAAATGGCAGGAGCAGGACTGCAGTCTTATGAGATAAAATGTCAGTATGCTGTGTAAGTGTTGGTCTGTAGACTGTCATTGAAAGATGGCAGCAAAAGAAGTGTTACCAGGTCATCTTGCATTGTCTGACAAGCAACATTTTCTGCGGTATAATTAAATGCCATGATGTTCATCACCAACAGACAATGTGATAATGGACTCTGATGTCTCTAATGTGCATGGAACATAACAGTGAACATAATAACCCCAGTGGGCATTATTTTTTTGGTAATCAGTGAACTTTTATCATAATTTTTAATGTTACAGATTCTAAATGGCTGCACCAAATTTGACACGGTTAACGAGAAATGTGAAGAAGCTGGAGAAACCTCGTCCTCTGAAGATTTTAGGGAACTCTAATCGCCTTTCCACCATTGATGGCAGACTAAATTCTGGCAAGTGGAATGATTGGTGTATTAAACCATTTTTCATCCTCTGTCAGGAGGTTCCAGGCATTTTATTTTTCTTGGATAGGTCAATGTCTGAAGACTTCTACACTATCTGTATGAATTTTCTCCCACATTATGTTTGCATGCATAGTCTTTGTTTATCTTTGCTATTTACATTTTTGACATCTCTTCTAGTAGTGCATACACTGGAATAGCAGAAGGCATATCAGACTCTTTTATTCTTTACCCAAATTCACCTTTTAGACTGATTGGATGATGTGTGTTCAGTGTATTAATTTATTTTTAGTCTTGGTATAAGTGTCATATTCACATGTCTTGATCCTTAGAAATGAATTCTGTTTCCCAGTCTTTAAATATGCAGCACAGGTGTGAGGCTGCTGTAATTGCTCTTTCACTTGCTGCAGAAATGCAGCTACAATTTCATCTCTCCCTGCCAGCTTAAATGGTTCAAATGTTTTTATTGGTTCATTTGAACTTTGATTAGTTGATAACCCATCTGAACATATTCCAGCTTCCCTCTTATCTTTGTTTTTCTGTACATCCAGGAATGGTTGTCCTTGTCAATCTACTGATTAGTCACATTTGAATCTAGAAAATGGACCCTGTGTAATTCTTCCAGAGTCTCCATTCCAGTCTGAGTATACTGACCATCAGGTACCTTGCTTATTCTGCTGGTAACATGTTTTGCCATGATTTTCATAAGTGACACTGCTTGGTTCATCTTCAACCTCTTTATAGTACCTCTTCTATGAGGATCATCATTATTCCATATTCCAGAAGCATCCATTTACCTGCTCTTTTCTCCCTGTTAAATAGCCTTCTTTTTTTACTGTCAGGCCACAATTCTTTATTCCACCAAGGCACATTCCTTGGAAAATGAGCAGTCCTGCTGGATGGACAGTTTCAGTGATAAGGTGACCTGTTGCAACTGATGACATCCAACTCTTTATCCTGCACCCAGCCATTGGTTTGTGGCATAACTTTAATATTTACTCTTAGGTCTTGTCTTTGGTTTTTGTGGAGTTATTAAAATTAGCTCTGTCAGTTTTCTGCTGTATGTGAAAGCATATGAAGGTATCTGACAGTAAGGGCCCTTCAGTACATCCCATTCATTCTTTAGGTTTCCTCCTTTTTTGGTCCCTGGTGTTAAACAAATTGCTACTGCTAATTGTTCAAATGCAGGTTTGTTGTGTTGAGTGAAAATACTCGGGTTTCAAATTACCAAATATTTCATTAAGCTTTCTCCTCTTTAGTTGGTTCTGTTGTTCTTTCACATGATATAATGTACATTGGCATCACAAGCAGTGATGATGAGTAGCTTTCTTGTGCTACTACAGTAGCAAGTAATATATCTCATCATCATGGTTGGCGGTTCATGTGTATCATAGAGAAGGTATGCTGAGTTTGCTATGAGTTCCTTTTCACTTCCTCCAGTCATGTATGTAGTTATTACCTTTGTTATGTCCCTGAAACTGAGCTCCTGCAGAGATAATGCATTACTCTGATTCCTGATAAAACCAGTGGGTATCAAAGAGTTCAGTGGAGAATTTATTCCCATAGTTCCACTTAATCCTGTTTTTTGGCCCCCATGAACCTGGGGTTCCTGAATAAGTGCTGTGACTATCTTTCCCAAAGCAGGTGTCTTCTATGGTGTGAATTAATTTGAATGAATTTCATGGTAAAATTTTTTTACTCCCCCCCATTATTGTGTATGGAGTCTGCTTATATCCCCTCCCCTTGGTTTACTTCCATCACAGCAGTTGTTTTTGGAAGTCCCTTAACTTGTGGCAAAGAATGTATGGGGTTCCTGATCCCTTAGTGCTAATGCCATTCCTTTAGACTTGGCCACCAGTCTCAGACTTTGATATGTCCATATTAGGGAGATCCTATAAATTGCATTTGACTTGCTGTATATTTTTTAAACTTGAGGTATCCATTATGGTCCCACAACTGATGGAATTTAAACCCCACCACACACAGAGCCCCATATAAGTGAAAGGTAGGAATATGATGAGGTGCTGCTTGGTATTCCAAGGGGATGATTAGTGACACTGTCATCACTATTTCAGTGCCTTGCAGCCATCAGCATGATTCCTCACTCCTTGGCTTCAGTGGGTCAGAGCTCTGTTGTCATCCCAAGAGACATTACCAAAAAACAAATTTCAGTTTAATGAAAATTAGTCTTTAAGTATGTTTTTTACTAAGTTGATTCTATTGGCCAGTTCTCTTGGTGAGTGTGTGTTGTAAAGAGCACTCCAGTTTTCTTGGTGTGGATTTTACATTCATTCCATCCTACTTATTTTCCTTCAATATATTCTGAATACATTGTTCCCAATTTTTGTCTAGATATTCATGTGGTCTAAGGTAATGTTTCAGTTCATCTTATTTACATGTCTTTACTATCTAAAATATGAACTTTCTGGAATTTCTTTAAGTAATTTAACACCAAAATTAATTCTTACTGTTTGCTTCCTAATTTTATCCATTCAAGTTTTCTTTTATGTTCATATGTAATTTCGAGTTATTGTAATTGGCTTAGATGTTTCATTGTCAATTACCACAATTCAAAGTTAAGGCATTTTAAGAATGCAAGTTCTCAATAAAGTGATGCATACTTGTTTGGCCATGAATTTAATTTGTTCCTAGGAAACATGTACAACAAATATCTTAAGTACAGAAATTTTGGATGAAATTGAAATTAAGTATTGTTGATGTGTATATGTGTAATAATTATGGTGGTATACATCTGCACATTGTGCTAACACTATTAAATAAAGAAAATGGAAATATGGCATTAATGTAAGTTTAAATAATGAAGAATATTTTATTCTGTAAATTTATTGGATTACTTCTTTTGAGGTCTTAAGATGTAGCTCCCCCTTTGCTCACATTTGAGCACTGCAATTTTTTAAGATACCACTTTGCATATGGATATTGTGTGTTTAGAGACTGACCAAAACATTTTAATAATAGCTATAAATTAACAACAGGAATGAAGACAGTGCCATGCAGAAAGAGCAAAATACATTGCCATCACTAATAATTCTTTGCACACTTCCAGTGCTTATATTGCATGCCTTAACAGTAAATTCTTGCGCTTTGTGTGGACTGGCATGGTGGTGTCTGCTTCATGCTTGAAGTAACTGAATACCTTAAACACTGATTACCTGAGCTAGCATACAGCAAGTGACTGAAGCTGACTAGCTGACAGAGACATGTGAAGATGGATGCACAGAAGCATCCAAAACTGAGCTGCCATCACTTGTGTTAGTCAGAAAAACAATCATCACAGCTTAAAAGTGTATGGTATGGATATGTTTACCTTTCTGAATTTATAGATTATTTCTGTGGTGCCATTGAATGATGACATGTAGAAATGTTCATTGAAACTTGTGGACAGTGGACATGTCCCTTCTGCATTTATATGTTGTATGAATATTGACATAAATATATGCTTTTCTTCCAGTTGAGGACATTATGGCCCTAGCTGACAGTGTCTCAATGCACTTAGCAAATGCCAATTTTGATCAAATGCTGCGTGTAAACATCATATCAATATGTAACAGCCTGAAGCTGTTTGGACAACAGCTGGAAACAATTTATAAAGGTACAGTTAACACCCTAGGTCAATTAATTTGTTACACGTTGAGCAGTATGTTGATGGTAATAACATAAAATGAGCTTATGCATTTCCTTCTGTATCAGATCAGCTGGATAGGATATTTGTAGCATTTCGTAATGGGTGCAGAGATGAACGTCTGGATTACCTGTCTAGAGTCCATTTGTTGGAAGCCATTGAACTGCGAGCTTCCAACTGGCAGGGATGTGACAATCTTATAGCATACTACAAGGCAAAGACTTCAATCGAGGTAAATTTTCAGTTACTGTTATCATTATCATCATCATAAATTAACTAACTAACTCCCTGGTAGCAAAACCCACAGGTTCAACACCAACAACACCAAAGCCTGCCACCGAACCCTGAGGCAACTCCATCAATTTGCCATCCTCACAGCCCACTTACCTAAGATCCATCTTGATGTTATCCTCTCATCTCCTTCTTGGTCTGTTCAGTGGTCGTTTTCCAGGATTACCTACCAAAATCCTATATGCACCCCCCCCCATGCATGCTACATGTCTAGCCCGCCATAGCCTCCTAGATTTCACTATCCTCACTGTGCTATATAACCCATACAATTTGCGCAGCTCCTCGTGCAGTATTCTAAGTTCTCTACTTATTTCATCCCTCTTCAGTCCAGATATCCTCTTGAGAACTCTGTTTACATACAGTTGTAATCTACGTTCTTCCTTCAAAGTAAGAGGCCATGTTTGACAACCATACAAGACATCCAGCAAAATTATTGTTTTATATATCCTGATCTTCAGTGTTTGGATAGTAAACAAGATGATAGCAGTTTTTGAATTGAATGAAAATAAGCATTTCTTGAATGTATTCTACTCCTAATTTCATCATGGACTTTTTTCCCTATTTATTGTTGTTCCCAGATACTTAAATTTTGAAACATCTAAAAATGATGTGTTACTTATAATTATGTTCTTCCATTGTTGATGATGATCCTGTATTATGCCCATGTATTTAGTTTTGTCTACATTTACTTCTAGGCTTATTCCTTGATAGCCTGTAGAAGGATCATCATAAATTATGCATGATCAACTCATTTGCTTAAATAGCTTGCAATCAGAGCCTATTAGTAGATCACTTGCAATTCACCAGTCTCATATTTGACCAAGTAGTTTGTTTGTGTCCCATTAGTTTGTAGCAGGTGCTGTAGATTATTGTAAACCAAATCTTTGGGCTGTAACAGCATACGAAAACAAAAATTACTCATAAGTTCCAGTGGCAGACCCTTATGGACCTTTAGGTTGAATACAAGCTGGGAATTTCTTGATAAATAGAGTGATTATAAAGTTCTCAAGTAACACCATGTACCATGAACTTATGTAACTGTGGATGGGGGGATATCCTCTGAGTACAGAAAGCTGTCAGTCTATGACTAATTTGATGCTGGTCTTAAAATTCTAGTTACTGTAAATGGGTATTTAACATAGACAAAAAAATTGCTATTTACAGCTAGCAACTCTTTTTGTTGATTCTCTTTAAACATCTAAATATTTTGAGCTGAACACTGCCATTTTTTACTGCTCTGTACTTCCCATTTTTGAATGATGTGATTGGGTGAGAAAGATTACATGAAGTTTCGGGTTTGGAAGCTGATGGCAATGCACAGCTTTGTTACAGTCCTCAGCTCCTTGGAAGATGGATATGTTGGACATCTCTTACAGGATAATTTGGGAGAAGTCTGCCTAACTTTGTGGGCAGGGCCATACTTAGGCACCAGCCTGGGGCCCCCAATAAAGTTAATTTTGACAAAAGTAAAAAGAATCACAAATTTTACTACATACAAATTACAATGATAAATATCAAGGTCATGCAAAAGTACTTCAGGCCCGGGTTCAAGAAGAAATCGGCGACCCCTTACTTATTTGAGATAAAATATTAAATCGCGTTGCAATGAGTGAACCAAGTTGGGAGACCTGGCCACCCCAAATATTTCCGTTTGTCTTATTGTGTGGAGGTTTCTGTATTTCTGTGGCAACCAATGAAAAAATTATATTATTATTTCTAATTAAAAATATTAAACGTTTTGTGCTTTATTGATCGGAGCCCCAGTACGCCGCACTCAGCGCAGCCCCCCCCCCCTTTTGCATGGCTCTGATAAAGACGGTATTTTTTTTACAAAAAGAGGATGTGAAATGAACTACTTTTGAAAGAGTAGCGGACGCTGGTCATGAAAGTCAGAAACACGGCAATGGTAGTCGTTGCACTGACCACATGATGAACCCCCAAGGCCGTATGGCTGGCCATCATACCCTCACAGGCTATTGCGACACAGAGTTTAGTTTAGTATAGTTCTTTATATTTCGCAGTATTACAACATTTGTGTTCAAACAGATTGGTTAAAATAATTGTTTTTTTTTCTGATTATATATATATGTATGCTTTATATATATTTATACACACACACACACACACACACACACTCATGCTGACCACTCACCCCCATCTAGTGCCGAGGTCAAGGAAGAGAGGAGCTATACCTCCACTCACCCCAAACGCCTACATGGCGTATAGTGGGACAAACTTTACTTTTTACACACACACACTCACTCTGGTATCTTTAAAGGGGGCCCCGCAATAGCTTAGGGCCTTGGGCCCAAAGATGTGTAAGTACGGTCCTGTTAGTGTGTACATTATTCAAGTGATTTAAGTAACTTGATCCTATTTGACATAAGTTTAATCATTGTAGTTTGGAAGTAAGTTAAAGTTGTACCAGAAACTAGGTACTTTAATGAAACCTTTAGTAATAACTTAAAAGTTAATCTGAAATATTGTGTTTTTTTACAATTATTTCATAATGAAACATGTTAAAAATTGTGCAGTGACTCCATGTGAAACTAAAAGTGTTATTTCATAGTGAAACACATATGAAAATTGTTAAAAGTGTTTGGCTGCAACTTGAATTCACATTTAAGCATGACATATCAAGAAGGTGGAGATTGATTCAGATTAATCTGTGGCATAAAACATTTTTTGAAGGAGAGCATTTCTGTTATCTGCAGCTCAGCATGTATTATAATGAGTAGTAAAGGAAGATGAAAAAAACATAAGCAAAAATAGTGGATAACGACCTTGCTTAAACAACAAACAAAGCCAACATTGCTTGAAAACCTTAGTATGAATGGTGGAAGTGGGTTTTGAAATTTTATGACACGCATTAGATATTGAATTGCTTGTGACTTTCTGTGGTGGTGTTGAAGAGTTCAGTGTTGCTAATGTAGATTTGATTGAACTTGTTCAGGTGCTGGCATTTGTGGTAGTACTGTTTAAATTGTGGGTTCTAGTGCAAGAAAGGTAGTTTAGAATAATGCACAATTAAAATATCAACATTTACTGCTGTTCACTTGGCATTCTTTTTGATTGTATTTGTTGTAGAATCAAGACATGCTGCCAGTACCTGATACACCAACCCTTCTTTCTATGGCGTCTCCCTTACTTGGTACTTCGTCCTCCCCGACACAATCACAAGCATTGCTCCTGAGCTCTGGTGAGATTATAAAAACTTCAGGAAAATTTGCCAAGCCAACCAAGATACCAGGCAAGAATTACTGCAAGGATGAGGTTGTGATCCGCAATTCAGACTCCGGGAAAGGTTAGTATCATATGCTTTTTTCTTTTCTTTATGATACTAGGGCAAATCATTGTATCTATAATTCAACTACTAATAAGTAGTTGAAATAAAGTAGTATTATTGAAAGGAAATACATTT